ATTTATGTGGCCTGATTTATGTGGCCTGATTTATGTGGCCTGATTTATGTGGCCTGATTTATGTGGCCTGATTTATGGGCCTGATTTATGTGGCCTGATTTGCACTTGATTTGTAACTTGAATTTGTTAAAAGTGGCATGATTTTCAATTGGTAATGTGAAATGTGGTAAATTAGAAATGGCATGATATTTTGTGTAATACAAAGGGGGATATAATAATAAATGAGGTATGATCATAATAGATTGTTATAGGGCATGGGAAACCAAATTTTGGGGATAGGGATATATCTGAGTGGGATACAAATGAGGTAGATTTATACTGATATACAATAGGGGAAATCCATCCAGCTGAAAAGCTGGGATTAGGATATAGCTGAGATTGGGATACAATAGTAATAGGGGGGATACAAATGAGGTAGGACTGTATGTGCATGCAAATAGGCTTTCTAAAAATTTTTTTCATCCAATTATATTTATTCAGGAACAAACTTAATGCATGTTTGTTATTGGTGACACAATCTTGGGAACCTTTGGTCTTTGTTCTGGTGTTCTTTCCCTCTCCCTCCTAGCAGCAACCCTTTGCTGGTTCCAATTGTCTAGCATCCTTTTTGTTATCTCCACCTTCTTACCAAAGCCCACCATTGTGAGATAAACATGCTCAGTGTTTATGAGATCATGGTGGGATGATGGAAGAGATGCCTCCTCCACCAACACCAGGTGAAAAAGCTGCTCCACAGCAGCAAGTGCATAGATGCGGAGTTTCCGGCCTATTTTTTCCCATTAATTATTAATATTAATATTAATAACCTAAGATGATGATAAACAGTTTGGCATATCTAGGTAAAGTTACTCACCAACTACTGTGAAACCCCAAACAACCAAGTTGTAAGCATCAGCAATGACTAGTTCTGTCTGTGCCATAATCCACACATCACGGAGCTCCAGACCAAGCTTAAGTGTGTCAAGCCACTCTTTGCAATGTGAACACTGTGGTAAACCACCAGAAACTTCTCCACAGGCAACAACTGGTAACCAGTTAAGCTGCTGATACTCAACAATAATATCAACTTTGTACCCACATTGTGCACGATTAATTGGATTGCAGCCTATGTCATGCTGGACAGCAGTTGGTTCAAGGGTCTGCTCACCACTATTAAAAAAACTTAACTCAGTGATCTGTCATGCAAATGAGTTTTTGCTGTAACAAAAGAAATGACTTACTAATGAACTCGGCACTCCTCATCACATCCTATTGTTGCATCCAAAAAAGGGACAACATTACGCATTGTGTGCTCCATCTTTCCAATATTGTCCTTTCCAGGCATGCTAATAGCTTTGACTCTACAGAATTGAAAGACTGTTAGACATAATTTATGCTTGTGTATATATATAGACTTAGGTAGCTGTGTCTTCCAACATACATGCTTGTGACAAGGTCCCGGATGCGACGTTCCTCATCTGTTTTCACAGAGATATCATCTGGATGCTTGGCCTAAAGAAAGAAATAATTAGGCAAGTGTAAATCAAATCATACAAATAAGTCTAATGAAATAATTACCACAAACAGTTGGTTAAAAAGGTGTGCTTGACCATCTGACATGGTTGGCAAAGTAAACCTTGCCTCTTTTGCCAAAGAGCCTCTCATTGCTGGGAGATACTTATGCAATAAGCTCATGGTAGGACCATGTTGGCCAGAATGGTCAACAATGTAGTAATAGAGAGGATCATGAAGACAGTGCTTTTTTGCTAGCATTTGACGGTAGCATTCAACCTTGCCCATTACTTTTTTCCAGTTTTTGCTTGTCATCAGCTGGGTGGAGGAAAATTTACTAACATCAGGTTCTTGAAGAGCATTAACATCTACTTTATATTTAGCCTCCTGATCCTCTTTACAATAGACAAAGAGTTAGTATTAGTATTAGGTGCAGCAAAGAAAAAATTTTTTAAATTAAAATCCCTAATCTGTATTCAAACCTGAGTTTGTGATATAATGGCCATGAAATGGAAGAATACTTACGTGCTCCACCTCCAGGCTCAGAAAAAGGGGTGCTATCATTGACCATATTAATATTAACCAGCATAAGACCTTCATGTGCATGGGTTACAGGATTCTCCATAGATGCCACTGTATCCATTGATCTCCCCTGCTCTTGAACCCAGTTTGTGACAATTGCATCTAAGCATTTTAAAATGAGCATTCAAAGTCCATCCATAACTGAGATTTATTGCTAAAGATTTTTACCAGTGGAAATTTCTCTTTGAGGTTTTTTGGGTTGAGTCAATTCCTTGTTGGACAAATCCACATCTGACAGTTCATCATCATCAGCTGGGATATAGACATTTGCTTTCTGTTTCAATGCTGTACCAGCCTGCCTTACAGCCAGAGACTCTGCATGCTATGCAGAAAAAGAATCAACATGAAAAACATCTTAATTATAACTGCATGTATTAGTAGTGGATTTATCTTACTTTTGCAGATATGGCTTCCAATCGAATCTGACTTCGTGTTGTGTCTATATATTCACGACATTCTGGTGATTGATGCCAATCTTGCAATTTTTTCCAAACTGCTGGATTGACCTCCAGGCCCATATTAAGGCAGTCATAACCAGAATAAAAAGGGAAAAACAATCCAGTTAGTTGCTGGAAATTGTACATCTCATGTATTATATCTGGACATCAGTACAAGAATATTGTATATACACGGCTCAGGACTGCCATTTGCTTTTTGCAAACGCTAATATTCCTGTTACCTCTCCCAATGACCCCCGCGAGGACAAAGCCGAGACAGGGTGCCTACGTGATCCGATGTATGGATGTCGCGGGATGCGTATATACAGCAAAGAAACAGTGGACAGGACTACAAGCAATCGACAGATATGCCCCACGGCTCAGGACTGCCATTTGCTTTTTGCAAACGCTAATATTCCTGTTACCTCTCCCAATGACCCCCGCGAGGACAAAGCCGAGACGGGGTGCCTACGTGATCCGATGCACGGATGTCGCGGGATGCGGTTTCCTTGCGGAAGCGGCATTCTTCGGGTTGCTCTTCACCAACCGACCTATTACTATCATAAGCCTCTTACCTTTTGGCTCTTGTAGCAGTTCCAGCAACAGTCTCGATCCGCTTTATATGACAAGCCCCCTGTCAACTCCTTCAAATTCCGCAGATAAGCACGTTTGATCTTTTCGACGGTATTAGTGACATATGGGTCTTCTTCGATCAGTGCCCGTGCAAAGCCAAGGGGTTCATACTTGGTCACAAGAGTGGTTTGCCAATAGACTTGGAGAGACACGTATCAGCAGTAAGTTTTTCTGGGAACAGATATTAATATGGAGCATCAAACATGCTCTCAAAATCACCAACCCTTAGCTGTAAGATTTTTCACACAGTTTGGCGTGATCTGAGGAGGACGCCTCCTCCTTCGAGTCGAAGTCCTAACACTTGTGCAGCCGGCTGATGACATGAAACCACTAAAGCAGGATTTAGACGAGTAAAAAGTGTTAGGCTTGACAGCAAGTGGGCTAGCACCATATGTCGTACCTGGTGTAACGGAGACGTGTCGCGAAGTTGAAACGTGACGGACACGTGTAATAGTAACAACTTTGTAGCAAAATTTAAATTATACCAAATTTGTAATCTCATGATTAAAATTTTGTGTGTACTGGACTCGATAATTCGACTTTCGACTGCCCAAAAATTTTCTATTAAGCCGGCATGTATAAATAGTATTATAATTATGCCTGTTAATACGATCGTTAGAAAATCAGATAAAAATTTCGATTATTTGCCTGACCCTGTGAATGCTAGTGGTAACGTTAGATATGTTTGTGATGTATTATAAGTATTTATTGGCATTACTATTACTAATACAATCTTAAACCGTTTACTGTCGACGATGCGGTGAACACAAGCGCGAGCCTTGACGATGATGAGATTATACAAGAAGTTCTTGATTGCAAGTCCGCCGAGAGCGACTCTGATACGGAAGATGAAGAAAAAGATACAGTCGTCAAAAAAATGAAGGTATAGATGCGCCTGATATTTCTCGAACAACAAGACAACATTGACAAAAGACTTGACAGCCGTCAGGCGTCTTATCAATCAAATTACATTACACCGTCTATCTTTACTTAGACAAACGTCTATTCACATTAAGCTTGTAACCATGGTTTTCACTCAGTTGGGTTAATTGCAAATTTCAGCATCAGCCGCGACATTTATTATTATGTAATATGATAATTTGGTTAGAGCGTCTAACACAACCCAAGTCGACATACGCGTATACGTTCGCGCTTCATAATTATCCTTCCCAACCTCATTTTTTGAAATACTTCTCTAAAATGAATTCATTGTCAAAATCACAGCGAATTCGTGGATAAGGATAAGAATGGCCATCTAAAACAATTTCGTACTTGTAACAATTGTCGCAATCGGCGAAGAAAGAAACCTTCAATTAGTAATAGTATCTGTGATAATGAAAAATCTTTAGAAATAATTGAAATCGAAGCTCTATGTCAGAATTTAAGAGAGCTGCTAATAATTGCGATTTGGAAAATACAAATTGTCGACAACGCAATTACATTAGACGTTAACAATTCCGAAATAAATAGCTAACGGAATAGTCGAAGATATTGATGAATACAACTAGGTGTAAGCTTATATTGCCTAAATTATACATATAATGCAATAATAGGATTAATTTTATAAACGGATATTAAACGTCTTACATTTCTTAATTAATAGTTACCACAGCGAGACAACTTAGCTGCCGCCAAGAAAACATCCCGATCCACTGAAGCAAAGAGATACGCCTTCTATGGAACGCTTTACTTGCAACGGTCTTAATAAAATAACAATCAATAACACGTTGCATGTAGCAGAACCGACCTTGCAGCATAGCATATTACATAAAAAAGTTTCTATTTCTCAGGAGGTTAGGATCTCTTACCACGTGAAATATATTTGCACATACATTTTTGGTGGGCAAGAACGCTATAAACGTCATAACAATGCTTTTGAATCTATTCTGTGGTTGCGGAAACGACATTGTGACATTATACTTAATATTAATGAATGGAACCTGGCTTTCGACACTAGAATACTGGATCAAATGAATCAGCTGGGAATTAATATAAATGAGTGTGGAATAGATGCTACATGTATGTGTAGCCATTAATATAATTGAATTCTCGTAACATTGCAGCAGGACATTATCTTTGGTCTGGGAAGGAGGTTCTTGGAGCATCTTGAAATGTTTTGACCTGATAATCACTGGTACTGTTGGCTCACCAGCAAGGTCAGTTGCATCAAGAATTACTTCCTGGTGATGCAATAGTGAGTAAAGTAGCACATCCTCAAATTCATAACCTCTTGGGTCACCCCCTTAATGGCCTTAATATTAATTGCACTTCCAGGAAGTGGCATTGATTTGTAAACATTGAGGAGAGCACCTCTGGCAGCTTGACATAGGGGATGATATTCCACATCAGCTCCATTTTTAAGCTGATATACCAGTCCAAGATCCACAAACTGATAGTCAAAGTCTTCATGGTTGAATCCAGAGTCACCATTCTTATGGGGCAGAAACATGGCTACAAGAGCATAACGTTGAGCATGTTGTTTTCCATAGGCTTGAGATCAAGAAAATATTTTTTCACAATCATATAAAGTTTACAATACCAGATTTTCCTGAATCACTTCAAAAGAGATAAGACACTCTGATCAGTGGCATCTTTAATTTTGTCATCTATTACTATTGTTATGGTCGGGTGGTCTGGGGTTTGGGAGAGCAATTAATATTAAGGCCATTAAGGGGGTGACCCAAGAGGTTATGAATTTGAGGATGTGCTACTTTACTCACTATTGCATCACCAGGAAGTAATTCTTGATGCAACTGACCTTGCTGGTGAGCCAACAGTACCAGTGATTATCAGGTCAAAACATTTCAAGATGCTCCAAGAACCTCCTTCCCAGACCAAAGATAATGTCCTGCTGCAATGTTACGAGAATTCAATTATATTAATGGCTACACATACATGTAGCATCTATTCCACACTCATTTATATTAATTCCCAGCTGATTCATTTGATCCAGTATTCTAGTGTCGAAAGCCAGGTTCCATTCATTAATATTAAGTATAATGTCACAATGTCGTTTCCGCAACCACAGAATAGATTCAAAAGCATTGTTATGACGTTTATAGCGTTCTTGCCCACCAAAAATGTATGTGCAAATATATTTCACGTGGTAAGAGATCCTAACCTCCTGAGAAATAGAAACTTTTTTATGTAATATGCTATGCTGCAAGGTCGGTTCTGCTACATGCAACGTGTTATTGATTGTTATTTTATTAAGACCGTTGCAAGTAAAGCGTTCCATAGAAGGCGTATCTCTTTGCTTCAGTGGATCGGGATGTTTTCTTGGCGGCAGCTAAGTTGTCTCGCTGTGGTAACTATTAATTAAGAAATGTAAGACGTTTAATATCCGTTTATAAAATTAATCCTATTATTGCATTATATGTATAATTTAGGCAATATAAGCTTACACCTAGTTGTATTCATCAATATCTTCGACTATTCCGTTAGCTATTTATTTCGGAATTGTTAACGTCTAATGTAATTGCGTTGTCGACAATTTGTATTTTCCAAATCGCAATTATTAGCAGCTCTCTTAAATTCTGACATAGAGCTTCGATTTCAATTATTTCTAAAGATTTTTCATTATCACAGATACTATTACTAATTGAAGGTTTCTTTCTTCGCCGATTGCGACAATTGTTACAAGTACGAAATTGTTTTAGATGGCCATTCTTATCCTTATCCACGAATTCGCTGTGATTTTGACAATGAATTCATTTTAGAGAAGTATTTCAAAAAATGAGGTTGGGAAGGATAATTATGAAGCGCGAACGTATACGCGTATGTCGACTTGGGTTGTGTTAGACGCTCTAACCAAATTATCATATTACATAATAATAAATGTCGCGGCTGATGCTGAAATTTGCAATTAACCCAACTGAGTGAAAACCATGGTTACAAGCTTAATGTGAATAGACGTTTGTCTAAGTAAAGATAGACGGTGTAATGTAATTTGATTGATAAGACGCCTGACGGCTGTCAAGTCTTTTGTCAATGTTGTCTTGTTGTTCGAGAAATATCAGGCGCATCTATACCTTCATTTTTTTGACGACTGTATCTTTTTCTTCATCTTCCGTATCAGAGTCGCTCTCGGCGGACTTGCAATCAAGAACTTCTTGTATAATCTCATCATCGTCAAGGCTCGCGCTTGTGTTCACCGCATCGTCGACAGTAAACGGTTTAAGATTGTATTAGTAATAGTAATGCCAATAAATACTTATAATACATCACAAACATATCTAACGTTACCACTAGCATTCACAGGGTCAGGCAAATAATCGAAATTTTTATCTGATTTTCTAACGATCGTATTAACAGGCATAATTATAATACTATTTATACATGCCGGCTTAATAGAAAATTTTTGGGCAGTCGAAAGTCGAATTATCGAGTCCAGTACACACAAAATTTTAATCATGAGATTACAAATTTGGTATAATTTAAATTTTGCTACAAAGTTGTTACTATTACACGTGTCCGTCACGTTTCAACTTCGCGACACGTCTCCGTTACACCAGGTACGACATATGGTGCTAGCCCACTTGCTGTCAAGCCTAACACTTTTTACTCGTCTAAATCCTGCTTTAGTGGTTTCATGTCATCAGCCGGCTGCACAAGTGTTAGGACTTCGACTCGAAGGAGGAGGCGTCCTCCTCAGATCACGCCAAACTGTGTGAAAAATCTTACAGCTAAGGGTTGGTGATTTTGAGAGCATGTTTGATGCTCCATATTAATATCTGTTCCCAGAAAAACTTACTGCTGATACGTGTCTCTCCAAGTCTATTGGCAAACCACTCTTGTGACCAAGTATGAACCCCTTGGCTTTGCACGGGCACTGATCGAAGAAGACCCATATGTCACTAATACCGTCGAAAAGATCAAACGTGCTTATCTGCGGAATTTGAAGGAGTTGACAGGGGGCTTGTCATATAAAGCGGATCGAGACTGTTGCTGGAACTGCTACAAGAGCCAAAAGGTAAGAGGCTTATGATAGTAATAGGTCGGTTGGTGAAGAGCAACCCGAAGAATGCCGCTTCCGCAAGGAAACCGCATCCCGCGACATCCGTGCATCGGATCACGTAGGCACCCCGTCTCGGCTTTGTCCTCGCGGGGGTCATTGGGAGAGGTAACAGGAATATTAGCGTTTGCAAAAAGCAAATGGCAGTCCTGAGCCGTGGGGCATATCTGTCGATTGCTTGTAGTCCTGTCCACTGTTTCTTTGCTGTATATACGCATCCCGCGACATCCATACATCGGATCACGTAGGCACCCTGTCTCGGCTTTGTCCTCGCGGGGGTCATTGGGAGAGGTAACAGGAATATTAGCGTTTGCAAAAAGCAAATGGCAGTCCTGAGCCGTGTATATACAATATTCTTGTACTGATGTCCAGATATAATACATGAGATGTACAATTTCCAGCAACTAACTGGATTGTTTTTCCCTTTTTATTCTGGTTATGACTGCCTTAATATGGGCCTGGAGGTCAATCCAGCAGTTTGGAAAAAATTGCAAGATTGGCATCAATCACCAGAATGTCGTGAATATATAGACACAACACGAAGTCAGATTCGATTGGAAGCCATATCTGCAAAAGTAAGATAAATCCACTACTAATACATGCAGTTATAATTAAGATGTTTTTCATGTTGATTCTTTTTCTGCATAGCATGCAGAGTCTCTGGCTGTAAGGCAGGCTGGTACAGCATTGAAACAGAAAGCAAATGTCTATATCCCAGCTGATGATGATGAACTGTCAGATGTGGATTTGTCCAACAAGGAATTGACTCAACCCAAAAAACCTCAAAGAGAAATTTCCACTGGTAAAAATCTTTAGCAATAAATCTCAGTTATGGATGGACTTTGAATGCTCATTTTAAAATGCTTAGATGCAATTGTCACAAACTGGGTTCAAGAGCAGGGGAGATCAATGGATACAGTGGCATCTATGGAGAATCCTGTAACCCATGCACATGAAGGTCTTATGCTGGTTAATATTAATATGGTCAATGATAGCACCCCTTTTTCTGAGCCTGGAGGTGGAGCACGTAAGTATTCTTCCATTTCATGGCCATTATATCACAAACTCAGGTTTGAATACAGATTAGGGATTTTAATTTAAAAAATTTTTTCTTTGCTGCACCTAATACTAATACTAACTCTTTGTCTATTGTAAAGAGGATCAGGAGGCTAAATATAAAGTAGATGTTAATGCTCTTCAAGAACCTGATGTTAGTAAATTTTCCTCCACCCAGCTGATGACAAGCAAAAACTGGAAAAAAGTAATGGGCAAGGTTGAATGCTACCGTCAAATGCTAGCAAAAAAGCACTGTCTTCATGATCCTCTCTATTACTACATTGTTGACCATTCTGGCCAACATGGTCCTACCATGAGCTTATTGCATAAGTATCTCCCAGCAATGAGAGGCTCTTTGGCAAAAGAGGCAAGGTTTACTTTGCCAACCATGTCAGATGGTCAAGCACACCTTTTTAACCAACTGTTTGTGGTAATTATTTCATTAGACTTATTTGTATGATTTGATTTACACTTGCCTAATTATTTCTTTCTTTAGGCCAAGCATCCAGATGATATCTCTGTGAAAACAGATGAGGAACGTCGCATCCGGGACCTTGTCACAAGCATGTATGTTGGAAGACACAGCTACCTAAGTCTATATATATACACAAGCATAAATTATGTCTAACAGTCTTTCAATTCTGTAGAGTCAAAGCTATTAGCATGCCTGGAAAGGACAATATTGGAAAGATGGAGCACACAATGCGTAATGTTGTCCCTTTTTTGGATGCAACAATAGGATGTGATGAGGAGTGCCGAGTTCATTAGTAAGTCATTTCTTTTGTTACAGCAAAAACTCATTTGCATGACAGATCACTGAGTTAAGTTTTTTTAATAGTGGTGAGCAGACCCTTGAACCAACTGCTGTCCAGCATGACATAGGCTGCAATCCAATTAATCGTGCACAATGTGGGTACAAAGTTGATATTATTGTTGAGTATCAGCAGCTTAACTGGTTACCAGTTGTTGCCTGTGGAGAAGTTTCTGGTGGTTTACCACAGTGTTCACATTGCAAAGAGTGGCTTGACACACTTAAGCTTGGTCTGGAGCTCCGTGATGTGTGGATTATGGCACAGACAGAACTAGTCATTGCTGATGCTTACAACTTGGTTGTTTGGGGTTTCACAGTAGTTGGTGAGTAACTTTACCTAGATATGCCAAACTGTTTATCATCATCTTAGGTTATTAATATTAATATTAATAATTAATGGGAAAAAATAGGCCGGAAACTCCGCATCTATGCACTTGCTGCTGTGGAGCAGCTTTTTCACCTGGTGTTGGTGGAGGAGGCATCTCTTCCATCATCCCACCATGATCTCATAAACACTGAGCATGTTTATCTCACAATGGTGGGCTTTGGTAAGAAGGTGGAGATAACAAAAAGGATGCTAGACAATTGGAACCAGCAAAGGGTTGCTGCTAGGAGGGAGAGGGAAAGAACACCAGAACAAAGACCAAAGGTTCCCAAGATTGTGTCACCAATAACAAACATGCATTAAGTTTGTTCCTGAATAAATATAATTGGATGAAAAAAATTTTTAGAAAGCCTATTTGCATGCACATACAGTCCTACCTCATTTGTATCCCCCCTATTACTATTGTATCCCAATCTCAGCTATATCCTAATCCCAGCTTTTCAGCTGGATGGATTTCCCCTATTGTATATCAGTATAAATCTACCTCATTTGTATCCCACTCAGATATATCCCTATCCCCAAAATTTGGTTTCCCATGCCCTATAACAATCTATTATGATCATACCTCATTTATTATTATATCCCCCTTTGTATTACACAAAATATCATGCCATTTCTAATTTACCACATTTCACATTACCAATTGAAAATCATGCCACTTTTAACAAATTCAAGTTACAAATCAAGTGCAAATCAGGCCACATAAATCAGGCCCATAAATCAGGCCACATAAATCAGGCCACATAAATCAGGCCACATAAATCAGGCCACATAAATCAGGCCACATAAAT